TGAAATAGTCATTATTCACTTTGCACTAATGCCTTCGAGAAAGGAATGAATAGGAATAAATGTTATAAACTGATATTGAAAAAAAATTGTGATTCAAGTGGATTCACTAGGTAAATTGGTTGGTATTTTGGCGACTTTTGAATTATATTTTTTTTTCTTTTTTTTTTCTCTCTCTCCCAAGAAATATTTTGAAAACTGGAAGAATAGAATTTCCTTTTATGCCTTATATTTGTTTGTTTTTAAATTTTTCTAAAGGTACAATAGAAATATTTCCTTAATTGCTAGGAAGGAATAATTCTGATAAAATCCACCTTCCTGGATCAAGTGAAGATTGTTTTTTAAAACAGTTGATACAAAATAATATTGAACTTATGAGATTTTATCCTGTTTAGATATAGGTAATTTTTTTTCTTTTTAAATCTCCTGATTATATGATTCTGATTTGCATGTTTTGGATTAACTTTCTAAGAATTTGTTATTCATAAATTGAATAAAGGCCTCCAAAATTCTATTATCATGTTTGGGTCTAATTGAAAATAGTTTAGTTTGAGATAAAATAAATTTTCAATTGTATTATTTTCTTTGAAAGCATTTAATTTTTTAATGAAGTAATTATCAGATTTCAATAAAAAAAAATGTCAGTATTTGTACATCTATGAATAGATTTATTTATGAAAAATAAATATTGTAAGAAAAACGTTGGTAAATATTATTTTAAGTCAATCAACACCCACATTTTATTTAATTTGTTGAATTCTCTGAAAAAAATATTCTTTGGACACTAAAAATATTTCTATAAATAAAAAATTATAAACATAAGTCCATAGAGGAATTAATTTGTTTGAAATTTTATTTGTAACTTTTCTTCTATGAAACGACTCTCTCAAAAGAATTCTGTGAGATGTTTCAACTTTGAAACAGCAATGTGTTAAAGCAAACATGAAAACCAAACAAGAAACATATCAGCCAAATTTACACTCAATGTGTAAGCAACCATGTGTCCATATTTATCCCTACATAGAATGAGCCACATGCTCCTATTTATACTTACATGGAAGCAGACACATTATTTGCTCTTAATTGTGGTTGTTCCCAGGTCCACCTTGAGCCAGGGTGGTAGCACCTGTTAGGGTCCCAGCTATGGGCAAATAGTTAACCCTCAAACTGGGGTCAAAACTTTATGAATGTATATAAAAAAATTATAGTAAAAATGCCAGCAAAACATTTTCATAGTAAAAAAAATTACCAGCTACACATTTTTGTAAAAGAAATTATTAATACTCCCAAGAAAATTACATTTTGCTATTAAATGACCCATAAGGAGTTGATATGCTGCTAAACAAACAAACAAGCAGGCACATATCCATGCTTACCCTGATGTGGAAGCAGCTACATACCCCTACATAGAAGAAGCCAAGTGTCTATATTTACCATGCTTTTAAATGAACCAATATGTTCATAGTAATTTTTTTTTCGTTTTAATTAAAAAAAGCCATTACTCTTTACTTTTCATTAAAATTATAATCTGGAAACTAATTTTTTTATTATCTTGCTTTTATGGATTAAGTAATTGTCTTAATTTATATATATATATATATATATATATATATATATATATATATATATATATATATATATATATATATATGTATGAAGAAAAATATACAGAAAAAACAAACAAAAATCTTAATATGCAATTATGCTGTATTAATGTTAATATAAAGTCAACGTTGTACGTTTCGGTCTATTTTAGACCATCATCAGGACATATTCATATAACATAATTAACATTAGAACATATAAAATTCAACATGAAAAAGACGATGGACATAAGAGCACAACTAATCCAAACAGATAACTGAAATTTTTTATACAAGATCAGCATTCCGTTTAAAATATGATCACGGAAAAGCTGATCTTATATAAAATTTCAGTTATCTAAAATATATATATATATATGTATATATGTATATATTTCGAGTTCATATTTAAAAGGTCAATTTTTAAAGCATTGCAATGCTTTCTAGAAATTTCAGTGTTGAAATACTATAAGTCTGCCAATTTTGGTCGTTTATTTATGAGATTGCCGCTATATTGAACAACAAAATTGGTTTTACAAACACATCTCTGACATTTCGTATCATGTCAGAAATATTTATTTTTCAATAATCTGCACCAAACTGAAGTTTATTCACCTGAAAATTTACAACTTTACTAAAGTCTAAAAACTTACCAAATAACCATTAACAGTCAGTATGCCTCCAAAGTGCTCTACTTTCCGAATCTTATTTTCTTAGTTTCAAGCTAAAGAAAATGGAATTTCATGAATGACTTCAAGATCTAGAAATTTGAAATTCAGCCAAAAGAACCACTGAGACAAATGTCTCAAACACCAACAAACCTGTGATAACTTTTTAGCTTGAACATTTGGTACAAGTTTCATGCACTTGACAATTCTAGCCTCTTATTAAAAATCATTTTTGTTACCACCAGCACTCACTACTGTGCAGTGTGGTGTAATGGATAATGGCTTAGAATGAGAAATCAGAGTGCCAAGTTCAATTTCTAGTGTGGTTTGTTACATTCACGTATGCAGAAATAATCTTGGGAATGATATGAATCCATCTATTTCCCCCCAACTATGTGCTGAATAGCAGGACAGACTGGGTCCTATAGCTTTGGTTGGCAACCAGACTACCGCAGAAAGAAAGTAGTTTTCAAAAAGTAGTCGGCAGTTTCTTTCTGTGGTAGACTGCATGCCAACAAACAGTATAAGACACTATCTACCGCAGAAAGAAATAGCAGACTACTACAAGAAAAGCTTCTGCCTAATCAGTCATGAATTAAGAGTCAAGATTGCCCAAGCATGTATCACATATGACAATTAACTGACTGAGCCACTGAAAACATTTTATTACCACCATGCACTATTTTATATTTATATATTGTCTTTGTGAAAAGTTAAAGTCACTCTGATAAAAATGAACATTTCTCTGTTACTAGGTTCTTAAATGTAAGAAAGCTTGTCTTTAGAACAGCTTGGATTTCAAACCAGCTAAAACTCAAGGACCTACATTATATAGTTTTAAACATGAGGATGATGTAATATTGCAATTTGTTTGCATTAACTAAAATTGGATGATGCAATATCCTGCAGTAATAGAAAAATATTCATTTTCACCAGGTGTCTTTGGCCCTGAGTGTGTGTAATAAATATTTATATATATATATGTGTGTGTGTGTGTGTGTGTGTTAAAAAGAAGAGACAAGCTGCAAACGTTTTTGGTTGTAATGTGGACTTTTTAAAAAAAATATCATGCTTTATTTTCCATAATTATTTCCATAATTAGTTAAATGGAAAATAAAGCATAATATTTTTTTTAAAAATCTGCATTACAACCAAAAACGTTGGCAGTTTCTCTCTTCTTTTTAATATATACACTTTTCTCTCGTTGGAATGACGATAACCTCTTCCCTTTATATTTTATATATATGTGTGTGTATGTATGTGTATATATATATATATATATATATATATATATATATATATATATTAAGCAATATACATATCTTACATTAATTGCACAACTTGGATTTTCATGCTGAATTAATTTTCATGTGCTGGAATTATAGTATTTATTTGTTTAAATAAATCTTCTATTAATAAACTAATATAAAGAAATAAGAATTTTATTAAAAAAATATAATAAATAAATATTTTATTAATAAAAATAAATATTATAATTCCAGTACTGGAAAATTGCTTCAACATGAAACATTGAGTTGAGCAATTAATGAAAGATATTATATATATTGTTTATTATATAAAGATATATAGCTCTGTTACTTTACATCAAGCACTGTTTTTTTTTTTTTTTTTTTATACTATAGAGTATTTATATGTTTTTGTATACTATCTCTTACTCGTATACCTACATATATTTACCCAGTCGGTTATATATATATATATAAATATATATATATATATATATATATAGGTAAAAAAAATATATTTTTGTTAGAAAGATTCTGTACAAAACTTATTGTATAGACTAAAATGAGGATTGAAAAAAATAGGCACCTAATATTTAATATAGTTTTATTTATTTATATGAATTTTTACAGAGAAGAATTAAAATTTTGTTACTTACTATTGGATTTTCAGTGTTTTTTCTTAGAAAAATAATTTGTTGTTTTCCTTTTTTAAAATTTTTTTACTTTAACTGGTTTCGCTTAGCTTTTCAAAAAGTTTTTTAACTGTTTTCATCTCCACATGTTGATGCCTATGTTTTGTACCAATGAAAAAAATGAAAATCAACTGTTGTAACAGGCTATATATGTTGTTCATGGTAAGGGGAATTTAGTAGAATCTATTTATGCAATGAATTAAGTATGGGTTTGAACTTGTTGATGAAAAATGTTTCCTTATTAATCCGCCTTTGTTCGCTGGTTCTGTAGTCGCATTGGTAAAAAGGGAAGACACTAAAATTTGGCAGATTTTGTCCTTCGCATCTCTCTATATGTTGGCTAAGGTGTACTTTTCTGGTGTTTTTGTCTTTATTTTCTCCTGAAATTACAGTAACTATATAAAGCTTAGATCAGCTCATGATCAACCATAATAGACATTCATTGTCTGTTATTTTTAACAATATATGTTTGAATAATGATCTGCTGCCCCTATATATATATATATATATATATATATATACTTGCATCATTCACATAGCAGGTTTGAAAAGTTTACAGGCAGCTCAATAATTTTCAGATTTACTTACATTTTAAAATAATTTTCTAAAATACAAACTGAAAATGTTGGATAACTTTACAATGTGAAGTTTCAATATGAATATCATAATAATGGTGGGAGGGATAACCCAATCCACTATCTTAACTATACTTTTTAATGATGGTAATTTTTGTTTGCTAGACCTCCCATTCATCAGGTGATATAGTACACATGTATTAAGTTCACCTTTCTATTCAACTTTTTTTCTTTTTAGGAACTACCTGAACTTTGTCATTGAAGAGTTAAAAGACCCTTACAGGTAAATGTCAAAAGGACTTTTTTTCCTTCTTGTTTTTTATTCCTTCTGGTGTTGCCTATATACATTTACATAAATATGTTTTTTATTATTTTTTTTTATTTTTTATTGTTAACATTTTCACTCCATCACAGCTCTGCACATGTTTAAAATAAAAGAATGAAAATCATTCCAAATGACAACCTTTTAATATTTCATTTCTGTGATGGGTAATTGTCAATATCCTAGTATTATTTCCAACTATTGTTCTCATCTTGGTTGATATAGATGTTTCAACCAAGTACACTCTGGTCATTATCCATTGATTGATATTTGTTGATTATTGACATTTTGTCTCTGCAATGTCAGTTATTGTTTGTTCCTGTTGAATTGGTGATTCCTCATCTGAGGATTAAACTCATGCTGCTAGATGACAACACCAAATCCTATATCTTGGTATCTTTTATATTCAGTGTCAGGATTTTGACATTTAGTTAGCAGGTTTGTACTGCTTTTCATAATTTAGTATTTCATTTTTTTAGATGAGTAATTGTCAATATTCTGGTATTATTTCAAACTATTGTTCTCATCTTGTTTGATATAGATGTTATTATAAACACAACATTTCAACCAAATGTCAATCAAGATGAGAACAATAGTTCAAAATAATACCAGAATATTGACAATTACTCATCTCAGAAATTGTTGAAGCTTGGATAAGCATGGAATAATAATAATACAACACAAAATGTACGTAAACAAAATGTATTGAAACAAGGAAAAGGTACACAATATTTACAGTTAGTTTTGGTATATTCTTGGGAAGACTGTTCCTGTAGAATGGGTTGACTTAATCGCAGTCGGGCAGAGTCTCTCGATTGGATCTCTTCTTACTTCTTCCCTTGTCTTCCCGGTACCAACCCATATTTATATGGTCGGTACTCCACTATGTAAATTAGGTGGATCGTACCACAACAGAAATGAAATACTAAATTAGGTGGTACATTTTTGAAAAAAAAAAATTACCAAAGCCTCCAGTAAAATGAAATTACGCCATTAAATGACCCATAAGGTGTTGATATGCTGTTGAACCAACCAACAAAATGGTTGCAAGCTTCTTACTGCTCTGTTGCTATTTCCATGATAAGTGTTTATGTCTTTGTTGTTTCCGTTTTTTATATTATGGCCGCTACTGTACATTCCTTAGTTCCACCAGTTCTAACCTTTACGACTAAGACCTGCCATGCCACACATGTAGCAGACCAGCCTCACTCCCTTCATATCCCATTGGTGAGATGTAAGTCCCACTCAATCAGCTTCTTTCCACAAATTGATGCTTTATAGAAATGGCTCCCAAGAGAATGCTTCCTCAGTGGCTACAATCTTAACTTGTTCAAGTGTAGGGATAGCTATTATCTTCCCTGTATATCCACATAAACTGTGCTTCTTACTCTGTAATCCTCTACCTCAAGAGGCCCCCAGGCCTTGTACAGGGGGAACCTCATTGTAAAAAATAAAGAAAATTCAATTAAATGTTAGTATGCCTTTTACTTTTTCAGAAATCTACCTCGAGCTATTTGGATTTCAATCATCATGGTTACTGTCATTTATGTGTTAGCCAATGTGGCTTACTTTTCAACTGTAAGTCCTGCAGAAATAAAATCCGGAGCTGCCGTTGCTGTGGTGAGTACTTATATTGGTAATTAATGTATTTAAAATGTTGTTCAGTTGATATGTTTTTAGAAATAAGTTTTCTTATTGGTAGTGATTATTATCACCACACAGTGATATTACAGGTGATATTATTATCACCATATGGACAAAGGTTAAGTAATCTGAGGATAGATAAGGTGAATTCAGAAGGAGGGATATTGGAAGCTTTGTTTATCACTGGAAGTAGTTAGAGGGAGGTACTGAGACAATAATGAGGAGAAAGTATAGTGAGAAGAATTTTGAGCTTTGTTTATGTGGGGAAAATAGAAACGGCCTACCTCGCAAACGTTCTCGCATCTTCCTGGCCTGTGGGTTGAGAAAGGAAAGAAAAGATTCAAAATGGCGTCCGTGACTTTTAATATTCACGGTCTCGTGCAGTCACGCAAAGTCGTGTTACACACATGCTAATGAGGTGTGTCTGGGCTCCATAAAAGCAGGTTGCTTGGAGACATTGGCAGACCAACATTTCACCCGTGCTTGGTGTACATCGTTTTGCGTTGCAGACATTTTCAGACGGAAAGAGTTGCGTCCCTTACACTGTTTAAGTCGACTCATTTGCTACAAGCTATTTCGGCAATTATTACAGCATGGACAGATTCGACTTGAAGTTAATACCAGAGTTCGACGGCTCCCCCTGCTGGCCCCTCTGTGGTCGAGTGGTGGGAAAATGCCGAGCGGGTCTGCCGGCTGTGTAAAATTAAAGATCCCGCACTGGTTATCCCTCTTAGACTCACCAAAGGAGCTTACGCTGTGTATCAGCAGCTAAGGGATGACGCAGACTTGGAGGAAATAAAACAAGCTCTATACGCAGCATTTGGTGCGGACCCCTTTGTCGCCTGGAGGCAGTTTACGAGCGGCGGCTTGGACCGGATGAAACAGTAGATGTCTTTCTGGCGATTTGAGGAAGCTGGCCGCACTGTTCGGTGGAGCAAGCGACCAAATCCTAGGATGCGCCTTTCTGGCAGGACTCCCAGACAACGCCAAGTCGACCACCCTGCGTCTGTTCACTGATTCCGCTTGCGTTTATAAGTGGATCTCTGATACCTTGACCGGGAGGGCCAGGGTGCGGACTAAAGCCACCAGCGAGATGCTTATCCGACGGCGGCTCGACACGATCGTGAATTTAGTGCAAATGCGCGCACTGACAATGGAGGTGTCCCTGGTCAAATCTAGCCTCAACAAAGCAGATTGTTTAACGAGGGTGCCGCAAAGGTGGCTTGACGCCGCTAAGAAAGCCATTGAGCCCGTGCAACCAGCCTGCGCTGCGTCCGTGAGTCCCGTTCGATTTAATCAAATCAAAGAAGTCCACCAACAAAGTGGGCACCCTTTAGTCAAGCGGACACTGTATTTCGCCAAGTTGGTTGACCCAGGAGTACAAAAGACAGACGTCAGGAGAGTGGTCAGAAGCTGTGTGGCGTGCCAGTCTATAGACCCAGCACCCGTTCGCTGGAAGAAAGGGCAGCTGGCGTGAGGAACCACTGGAGCCGGCTGGCGATAGATGTTACTCACCACAACGGCGAGCATTTCCTGACACTCATTGATTGTGGTCCATCCAGGTTTGCGATATGGCGACTGCTGCGTCGGCAAAGATGCAGCCACTATCATCCGTCAGTTAAACAGCATCTTTCTTGAACGTGGCCCCCAACGGAGATATTAACCGACAATGGCACCGCATTCACCAGCGAGCAGTTCGAGAAGTTTGCGGATGGCTGGGGAGTGCACTTACGGTTCCGGTGCGCCCACGTGCCGAGTGGAAATGGAATCATCGGCGGAACCACAGGACCGTCAAGACCATCGCAGCCAGAACGGGCTGCCGCGGTGTCTGAGGCGGTCTACTTATACAACGTGACTCCGAAGGATGATGTCTCACCCTCGCGCCAGCAGACACATTGCATAGGTACCACGTTAGAGTGAAGGGCATAGAAACCAACCCACTGACGGAACTGAAAGTAACCAGAGAGAGGCTGAAGAAAGGCGATGTCGTCTGGATTAAAAATCCCGCACAGCAAGTGCACCACGAAAATCTGGAATCGGACGCGTCATTGAGGTGATCAGCCCACAGGCGGTGCGGGTCGACGGTGTGCCCCGTCACGTTAAGGACCTCGTCCGTCGACGCGGTTGCAACCACCGCTGGACGATGAGAGCGAATCGAATCTGAGACCAGTGAGGCATCGCTCTGGTTCACGCCAGCCCCATCAGGCAGTGACTCGGATATCAGTAGCCTTCCAAGGGACGCGGTGTCTTTTCGACCCTCAGACCTCAGACAGGAGCACAAGCAACGATGAGGCTTACAGGCGTCCCTCTTCGAGAAGTACCGGCGCCAAGCGATCACCACCTCCCTGTCAACTCTGTGATCATGAGATCAGGGGGAGTGTGGGGAAAATAGAAACGCCTACCTCGCAAACGTTCTCGCATCTTCCTGGCCTGTGGGTTGAGAAAGGAAAGAAAAGATTCAAAATGGCGTCCGTGACTTTTAATATTCACGGTCTCGTGCAGTCCGCATAAAGTCGTGTTACACACATGCTAATGAGGTGTGTCTGGGCTCCATAAAAGCAGGTTGCTTGGAGACATTGGCAGACCAACATTTCACCCGTGCTTGGTGTACATCGTTTTGCGTTGCAGACATTTTCAGACGGAAAGAGTTGCATCCCTTACACTGTTTAAGTCGACTCATTTGCTACAGTTTATCACTCAAAAAACCTGTGAAATAGTTACAGAATTACTGCAGGCGTGTTTTGTAAACAGTCCCCTCTCCAGTCCTCCTACCACCACTGTGGAATAAGTTCCAGATTATCCTACCAACCAAGACAACATCGAGGAAAACACTTACATAAGTTCATTTTACAGTGATAATATACACACCCTTTTACAAAATACATTTTAATATAAGTGTGTTTTTATGAAATACCTTTTAATTTCCTATAGCAGTAATTGATAAGTTACCATTAATTATTTTAGATTCTCAGTGAAAATACTGAAAAAATATCACTGAATGGGAGATGATAAAGCTACTGTTCTTTTCACTGTGTGGTGACTATAATGAGATCAGTAATATCACCATACAGTGATAACATGCACAGTCTGTTTTATTCAACAAGATGTTCTTGATACAAAATGTCTACTGTCTTAACTTTTTTGATTTTTGTAATTATTTCACCCCAAACAAGGCAATAAATACACCCAGATACAAGGGTTTGCTGGGTGCGAAAGAATATGAGAAAATGAAAAACATTATGAAGGAGTGAGAACAATAAAAAATCAAGAATTAAGAAGACAGAAGATAACAATTGACATTGCATTTAAATTTTTGAAGATCAAAGTTGACTGGAAAGGAAGAGGTCAGATGAGAGTTCTACAAGCAAGAAATGCAAGTAAAGAAACTGTTAGCCTGGTTACATCTAGCAATTTTAATTGTAAAATGATAAGACCTAGCTGCCAATCTAGTAAATTTGTAAAATCAAGGTACCAAAGAGAGAAGCATATCAGAATAACTAACATGAAAATATTTATAGAAAAGACTCAGAAAGAGACATTACAGTGCTGGAAAAGTGAGTGAAGCTGAGATGCCAGGTGTGGGCTGATATAACATTGCAGATTCTTCTTTGAATTTTATAAAGAATCTCTAAATACCTAGCAAAAGCACCAGGCCAGATGTGACAGCAATATTCAATGCATGGACAATTATTGATTGTATCTGATCTTAATTGTCGATTAATTAGAACATAAGATTATCAAACAGCATACTAATATAAACTAGTATAATTACTAGTATATTCCAAGTTTTATACTGAGCATTCTTGCTTTCACTTGTCATAAGCAACTTAAAGAAAAATAGTTCTGAATATCATAGTGCTAATTCTCAAATAATTAATTCATTATTTGATGACTTGTTTAGATCAATCCCTTTATTGTGTTTTAATCACTACATTTTAGTTAGTGGGCTTTGTCACTATTTTTACTTATCACCAACCTGAAAAATAAAGGCTTGTATGGTACCGTTATATTAAACTTCATGTTTCTTTGACCAGTCAAAAATTATTAAAGTTCAAGCTGGGAAGTTTTTACTCATCTGCTAAATTTACAAAGTATGCATAATTTCTTATTGCGGTAAACATTGCATTTAGTGGTTACATGTGTTTAAATAGATATCCCTATTTTTTAAACAGTGTAATTAATATCTCCTTGCCTAGAGATTGAAAGTCTTAATAAAGAAAAAGTGTCCCTCAACAGGAACCAAATTTGTATTCTCTTTTTAATCTAAGAAACTACCTCCAACTCAGGTATGTTTTACCAATAAGCTATGGAAAGCCATTGCAGCAAAGTAATGCATGATTACCTAATTTAAGAAATGTACATTTTTTGTTGGGACATTTTGAAATCTATTTCTGCTAAACTTACTTATTGGGCTATTGTTCTTATCTTTGTTGTTATTATCACAATATTTTGGCCATTCTGTTCTCCATCAGGGAATTTTCAACTGAACCCTTTATTTAATCATGGGATTCTTTCTTATAGATTATTATTAATTTCTGATTACTATAAACGTTATATTTAGGGATGTCTACTCAAACATGTGTATACACTAAATATAATGTTTATAGTAAGGAAAAATATTGCCTGATTTTTAAAAAAATTCTTAATTGCTTAAAAAATACTTATGTAGGTGTATGCATAAAAGTTTCTAAAAATTAATTTATTTTTAATCTGTTGCATCTTACAATTTTGAAGTATTAATTGATTTTCTTTCTGCATCAAGAATTCTCAAATTCCATCATTGTTTGAATTGATATTTAAGTGCAGAGGTAAAACCAACATGGCTGAACGAAATGTGAAATAATTTTAGATCATGATGAAAGCTGAAGAATTCCATAAAACTAAGGATGAGGATATTTATTAGTCCAAACAATTTATGGAATAATATTCTGTAAAGTTGTCTTGTAATTTATTATATTTCCAGTTTTTAGTCAATA